TTAACAACCAAAGTGATGTATCATATGAGACACTAGCCTTTTCCGAGGGATTACCCTGAAATCTGTGAACATTTACTCAGGAGCTGAGAGCCAATATTGAGGCTTTATTGTTGACTATCTTTTATCTCGCTCTGCTCATCTGTCTAATATGGTGTGAGCGGCCCCCGACCAGCCAATATGTATTGGGTTCCAAAATCGATGGTCATCTTTCAAGGTCAACTGACAATTTATTTAAAAAATATATATATTTTTTTTTTAACCAAACAGTCAGCGTGTTACCGTCTGCATCTTAAGCTAATTCGGATTTGCTATTTAAAAACTCCCAGTAGATACCCACTAATTATTTTTTTAATAAACTATCAGTTTAAAAGAATTCACAACAAAATTAATTCGAATTATTTCTGCAGTAAGAATAAACTACAGTGTCCTATTTTACATCTAGTTTCATTTCCACCCTCGATCGCTTAACATACTACAGCATGTTAATCAAAACACGCGCGCATAATGCCTCAGCATACTGTAATAAGTAGTGCTTGCGCAAACGCAGAATGTTCACGTCGATCACAGAAACAGGATCGCTTAAGATGGTGCATTTCAGGGCTAGCAGTTTTCAAACAATTCATAGATGATGTTATGTAAAGTTTTATTGAGTTGGAACTCATTCAAACCTTTTTCAACATACTTATACTCATAATAAGTTTCATTGGATTCTACCACAACAAAACCGTACCTAATGTAACTTCAATAATATCATTGCTATATTCCATGTTACAATAACGTCTGGTTAAAATAATAATTATTATTATTATTTTATTGGATAAAAAACTAAAAATTCCAAGATTGCGCTTTACATAATTATACAGCCAACCTCTCTGATGATTCGCCACTTAACAAGAACAGTATAGACTACAGTTACAGATATACAGGGTGTTTAAAAGAATGTGTATATAGTCGACAATCTACACCCTGCCTTACAGATTTTCGTATGCGGGAGACCTCATACACAGGGCTGGATTAACCATTAAGCAAAATAAGCATGTGCTTAGGGCATCAAGGGAAGGGGGGCACCACAGAAATTTTCCATAGCCGGATTTACCATGGACCATATGGTGCAAAACTGCAAATGGTGCAGCTGAACCAGGGTTCACAAAAAGAGGCCCACACATTAAATGAAAAAAAATACATACATATATATATATATACACAATAATAATAATAAATAGTAATTATAGAAGTTAATGATATACAACAAAATTAGGATCTGCTAACTGCCTCATGGTCCACGGAGGCTCACGTGAACGTTCTTGTCTTGCCCGGCAGGCTGGATCCCTTATCTCTACTAAGTATAGAAGCAGATGTGTTACATAAGACTAATTTTGAGGATCTGATCAAAGACTTTGCAATTAAAAAAAGTAGGAGAAAACTTTTCAACTAAAAATAAAGTGGTCGTATACAAAAATAAACATTATTTTCCATCTTACTGTAAATTTTGTTTAATTTCGAAAAATAACATTTTATTTTATGGTTTATTATTGTTTATATTTTGAATTACATATATATGGGGGGGGGGGCACCAAAATCTTTTAAGTGCTTAGGGCCTCTAAGGATCTTAATCCGGCCCTGCTCATACATCAACAAAATAGGACAATATTGCTGTTGTAATGGCAAAACGTTGTGTGTGCAGTTGTGGTAGTTATATGCAATACTTGTACGACATATGGCTGTGTCAGTATTACAACTATTAATATGTACATGTACGACAAAACGTTATGAGCACAATTACTATGAGAATTTGTGATGTATGCATCTATGGCAACTAATGATTCGTAAGTTTGATAAGTGATGTGTACATGTATGGCAAATCATAAGATGCATAGATATAATAGTTAAATAAGCTTCGAATAGAATAATGTACAAGTATAAGTACGGCACTTGTTATATGTCAGGTGGCAAGTATGGCAACATGGCAATTAGGAGAATCTGCAAGTAGTGGAGGCGACCGAGTAACCGATACACAGACTGGAGGTAAACCAGTTGAGAGAAGGTTTTGACTGTGAGTGGTGGTGGAGACTGAGTGTTGGTGGAGGAGACTGTGAGTGTTGGTGGAGGAGACTGTGGATGGTGGTGATGACTTCATATAAATGTATAAGCACCTTAAGGGGCATTAAATCAAACGTACAGTACATATCTGGAGTTTGCGGTTGGGCGCCCCGGGCACCAGAAATTACCGCCTCGTGGTAAAGAACCTAACAGTGCAGAAAACTGTCAGAGCTAATTAACTTGGAGTTAGACAAGTGACCCCGTGAAATAACTTGCCTGCAAATGTTGTGATAACAACGAGTGTGAGCTCCCACAGTCCATGTACATTCAAGAGCTCGTATACTTCCTTTTACTTTTTTTTACTTTTATCCTCTTCACCACCGATCGGCTCGTTAGCCGCTTGGGCGATCGGTCACGTCTCTGAGCAGTTTTCCTTTTTCATTTATCCTCTTCACCAAAAAATCAGCTCGCTAGCCGCCCGGGCGATCGGTGACTTTTATCCTCTTCGCCACTGATCGGCTCGCTAGCCGCCCGGGCGATCGGTGACTTTTATCCTCTTCGCCACTGATCGGCTCGCTAGCCGCCCGGGCGATCGGTCACGTCTCTGTCACGTAGTTGGCAAATACTTCCAGTGCTGTACTGTCAACTATAAGCGCAACATTGAACTGACCGACCGACTGGCTGACTAGTTAGCTGAAAAGTGACAAAGAGGGCAAAAAAAATAACAATAAAAAAAATAAAATAAAAATAATAATAATAATATATATATATATATATATATATATATATATATATATATATATATATATATATATATATATATATATATATATATATATATATATATATATATATATATTTTTTTTTATTGGGCACTCCCCTACATCCTTGTGTAAGGTGAAGCGCAGAAGCGTTTACAGCGCCCAACAGGGAAGCATGCTAAGTTCATGCTTGCCTTTATGTCTCATGAGTTAAGGGCGTAGAAGCCTGAAGAGTCAAGGGCGTAGAAGCCTGAGGAGTCAGTGGTTTATGTCATCAAGTTATTGGAAGCTCCAACAACTCCCTGAATACGAATTCGCAACTTTCGGCTTACAACAGGTACCTACTTTACTGCTAGGTGAACAAGGACTAATGGGGGCTAGGAAGTAAGTCCAAACAACTTCCACCGGCCCGGGAATCGAACCCGTGACATCTCGCTTGCAAGGCAAGAACGGTACCGCTTCTACCACCGATCCCCCAAAAAAATATATATATATATATATATATATATATATATATATATATATATATATATATATATATATATATATATATATATATATATATATATATATATATATATATATATATATATATATATATATAAGTAAGTTAGGGTGGAGGCAGTCCGGGGAAGGCAAATATGGTAGGACGGGTCACACCGGTTGCACAGGGGAGCTCCCATCACCTTGGGAATGCTGAGATACCCGATACCTGCCTCCCGCCGGGGATACCTTCCTACCAACCTAGGACCCCTCCTTCCTGCAGGGCCCATACTGTTCCCGTTGCTGTGGGAAGGGGAGATGAGGACTGAGAAGTAAAAGTAGTGAGACGTCATTTCCCATAGTCCACGAAGGCTGCTTGACGGGTTACATGCCAGCAAGTGAGGTGAAAGAGCTAGTGGTGACACACGTCTCAGAACATATTTACTCATACGTACTACTGCTTCCTCTCTCACTTAGATATTGTGACTATTGCTCTTGAAACTATCATTCCAGTTATATTTTATTTCTCATATCGACGTCTGGATTAGGAGACAAGAGCACAAGTCACTGTAGTCCTTTGCTAGGCCAGTTTCCAAATGTCTTCACACACCGGTTGTTGATGTTTTTAATTTAGGCATTGCTGCGCTTCAGCTCTTAGCCTAGATAAGTACTACATACATTAGTCATTAACAATTAGAAATTAAGAGATAGACTTCCAAAGACTCACGATTAACATCACTACACTTTCACCTTGACCTCATAATGGAATTTATGACCAAAACGAAAACTAATTCCAGTCGCATTATTAATCAAATTAGTTCTATAAACATAGAGAAATAATTATAACCAAAAAATGAGTGCAAAGAGGAAATTAAAAAAAAAACACGATATAATTGACATTAATAACCCAAAACAACTTTTTACGATATACAAAACATAAAAATTGGGGAGTGTTACTACTTTTTTTGAATAAAAATAAATGTATTGTAAATAGACAATCTCTCCCAATACTTTGTACCACCTCTAATTCTAAGTGATCTCACCCTACTTAGCATGTGAATTAAATTTCTCTACAGAAAATACATAATTCATGTGCTAGGACTTCGGAAACACATAATTAGTGATAATGGAGTATTGCACTTGCAGTGTTGTTGACAGTAAGGGAGTATCACATGCTGTGCACAGATACTGCAATACAGGAGCAATGTCGTGATTCATCTATCACAAAACATAACTTCAAGTGCACTTCCCTTGTACACTAATAAATTTACATGATATGCAGCTCAAAGATAATATGTAATTACCCCTACACAGTAAAGGTGACAAAAAGAAAAACAGAAAAAATATGAATACAGACGTAGATGACCTGTGTCAGCTGTTGTTGCTAATTTGTGACCGTGGAAGTTAATAACTGTCGGGAAGGATTTTTGTATCCAGAGTGGGGGAGGGGGGGTGTCGGAGGAGGGGGACGGAGGGGTATAGGAAGGAACCAGCATGATTGGCTATAACCTAGCTTCACGTAACAGCAGTCATTATGTAAGTGTAGTGAAACCATATTTGCAGGTACAGTATGTGAATAAGTTCATGTATGAAGTTACAGATTTTTATATACAAACCGAACGTTCCACTTTATATTTCTTGGGCGATTACTTTCTGTTCTGAGGCTCTTGGCGAATTATCATTTGCAAGACAGCAAACCTTGAGAAAGCCTACTTGGCACCATCGCACCATGTGATCCAGTATATAAACGGCCGGAGGCAAGGGGAAGACGTGCAGATCCGCCCATTCTTCCACACAATGAAGATCACCATTCTAGGTAAGGGTTTCACCTACGGCTAAGGCAGACGTGCAAGTGAAATTTGTTAATCTCTAAAGCTACTGGTACACCCCCACATGCTAACAAGTACCAAATTAGAATAAGACTTTTAGCTAGTGACTTGCAGCCTGGATTTTAGTATCTATCGATCAACTCTCCACACATTAGATAAATTTCTAGAAGAATGCAGTTCATGATTCAAATTTATGGTTATTCCTAAGTCCCTCCAAAAACTTTGCAGGTACGCTGCTAGTGTTGGCCTCCGGCGCCAAGCTGGATAATGTGCTCGGCTCAGGCCACTCGGAGCAACACTTCCAACGCACACCTAATAACAACCTGGTCCACATCAAGTACGGGGAGCTCCACAGCACTCACTCCAACCTTGGTCACGGTGACAGACAGACCCATAGTGTCTCCACAAACCAGTCTCACAGTCTCTCGGTTAACCAAGGCCACAGTTTGTCAGGTAGTCAGTCTCACAGTCTCTCCGCCCACCAGGGTCACAGTCTGTCAGGCAGCCAGTCTCACAGTCTCTCTGCCAACCAAGGCCATAGTCTGTCAGGCAGCCAGTCTCACAGTCTCTCTGCCAACCAAGGCCATAGTCTGTCAGGCAGCCAGTCTCACAGTCTCTCTGCCAACCAAGGCCATAGTCTGTCAGGTAGTCAGTCTCACAGTCTCTCTGCCCACCAGGGTCACAGTCTGTCAGGCAGCCAGTCTCACAGTCTCTCTGCCAACCAAGGCCATAGTCTGTCAGGCAGCCAGTCTCACAGTCTCTCTGCCAACCAAGGCCATAGACTGTCAGGCAGCCAGTCTCACAGTCTCTCTGCCAACCAAGGCCATAGTCTGTCAGGCAGCCAGTCTCACAGTCTCTCCATCAACCAAAATTCCCAGCACCTTAGCGGACAACAAGGCAGCATTCAGCTCGCTTCAGACAACCAACAGGCCGTAACACAGACTCAAGCGGTCATTACCCAGAGAGTAACTCAGGACAGAAACCAATTCCCTGCCCAGAACCAACAGGCGAACAGGAACCAGTTCTCTGCCCAGAACCAACAGGCTAACAGGAACCAGTTCTCTGCCCAGAACCAACAGGCTAACAGGAACCAGTTCTCTGCCCAGAACCAACAGGCTAACAGGAACCAGTTCTCTGCCCAGAACCAACAGGCTAACAGGAACCAGTTCTCTGCCCAGAACCAACAGGCTAACAGGAACCAGTTCTCTGCCCAGAACCACCAGGCTAACAGGAACCAGTTCTCTGCCCAGAACCAACAGGCTAACAGGAACCAGTTCTCTGCCCAGAACCAACAGGCTAACAGGAACCAGTTCTCTGCCCAGAACCACCAGGCTAACAGGAACCAGTTTACTACCCAACAGGCTAACAGGAATCAATTATCTGCCCAGACCCAACAGGCTAACAGAAACCAGTTCTCTACACAACAGGCTAACAAAAACCAGTTCTCTACCCAAGCCAACAGGAATCAGATCTCTGTCATTACTCACGCGAACAGGAACCAGCTCTCTGCCCAGAACCAACAGGCCAACAGGAACCAGTATTCTGCCCAGACCCAGCAGGCTAACAGAGACCAGTTCTCTGCCCAACAGGCCGACAGGAACCAGTTTTCTACCCAGACCCAACAGGCCAACAGGAACCAGTTCTCTACCCAGACCCAACAGGCCAACAGGAACCAGTTCTCTGCTCGACAGGCCAACAGGAACCAGTTCTCTGCCCAACAGGCCAACAGGAACCAGTTCAATGCCCAGAATCAACAGTCATTCAGTTCTCAGGTATCCAGGCAGAGTCAGTTATCTAACGGCAATAATGATCAACTCAGGAGTGAACGATTCAGCTTCAACAAAAACAAATTCTCGAACCCCGACCTCGGAGACCAGAACCAGCAGCAGAACACTCAACTTCTCTCTAGACAGAACCTAGAGTCCAGCAGGTTCCAGACTGGACAGAACCAAGAGAGGAACAGGTTTCAATCATCCCAGACTCCCAGCTTCCAGAACCAACAGGGACACTCAACTTCTGTCGGAAATCAAGTTGTCAGCAAGGAACAACACCAGAACACTGATGGCCGCCTCCACACCTTCAGCGGTCAATTCCAAACTTCAGGAAATCAGCACCAGACTTCTAACCAACAAGTCCATTCTACCAGTAATCACATCCAGGACTCCCAAAATGCTCAGCTCAGTACCAACTTCCTCAACTCTCAGGTAAGCTTCTTAAAAAAAAAAAAAAAAAAAAAGCAACACTAAATTAATGTAAATCACGACACTACTTGAGTGAAACACGCATTAGGAATTTTTTTAATAGTGTCTGTTGCACCAGAAATATTTCGCCATTTCTCTGAGGATTATGACTAGGGCCCGGATAGTTATGCACTAAAAAACCATGAAATATGCATGCAAATATGCACTAAAAACAGGGGGAATATGCATTTATATGCACTAAAAATTTCACTTATAAAGCCTTACTGGAACATGCAAGAAGTAGTTGTTGCTCCTTTTGTGCACTATTGGACTTAACAGCTTCGAGTCGGATGTGCTTGCTTGTTTTAAGGTGTTGTTGGACTTGAAATTTCTTGCTCGCTGTCACTGGTGCTTCACAATATTTACAAAACAGTACACTTCCATCAGTAGTAAATGCATCAAATTCCTTTACATATGATCTCAGCACTTCATTTTGGTTTCTTTGTACTTTGTCTTACAGGATTTCCATTGTTGTAGGGCCTCATCTAAAGCCTTTTTTTCATTATTACTTTTATTGCTGTGTGATACATGCCATTCCTATTGGAAATAAATGATACGGATTTACTATCCGACGTTTCAGATGACGCAGATCTCAGGTCACATCGAGAACGTGAATGGGGACACAGTATTGGGAGTGTTCCAGTCCTTCATCGTGCCCACCACCTCCTCTCTGGCTGAGGGGCAGGTCTCAACCTCCTTCTCGTGAGTAATATTCTATCTATTTACTTTAATATTTCTTACTTATATTATATCTGAACCACTAAGAGATAACACAGAGAAATTTTTCCAAAATATGGAAGGTGTTATACAATTTTGTATTGCTGACAGGTGCTCGAGGTACGGGCAGGGTTACTACTCAGACTCTGAGAGCGGGTGCCGTAAGTTCCATGTGTGCACTCCAGTCCGCGACACCCAGGACACCACCACACTCTATCGCTTCACGTTAGTACCATATTTATATTCGTTCAGCTAACCATAAATTATTTTCTTAATGAAAAAATTATTTAATGAAAATTGTAACTATGTATCTAACCTTTCATGTTAAAAACTAAACACGATTCATAGCAGCATATAGTGTTGAATAAATGAGTCTTGAGGAAGCTACTTGTCCTATCTTTCCCTAAAAGCTAAAAGAATGTCTTTAATGATTAATTTTAATCACATGTTATCTCAATTACTAATCGTTATATGTCGCACCAGGTTCCAATGTAACGAGAATGAACAGTTCGACCAGAGCTCCTTTACCTGCTCCCGATCCTCTGCCTCCTGTGCCTCCGCCTCCTCCCTCTTCACTAATAGCAAGCAGAATACCCAAGCATTCTTCTCCGAGTTCTCCACCCCTACTGAGCTGACAAGAGACAGAGGCTTGTGTTATTTGGCCCGCGGCACTGTCATTACCGGAGTGCGCCGCAAGTAATTGCAGCACTCAATCCAGTCACCAACACGACTCGCGACGCTGCACCACTTATCCCGCCTGACACCTACACCTCACCCCACCTCTTAGGACTATGGAAACTATTGAGTTTCGTCTCCAATACATAAAGAAAAAATAAGCCAATAAAAAGAGCAGAATACAAACTCTTTTATTTTTTGTCCATTTTGTACTCTTCTAAAACCATACTATAATTTTAGGTTTATGATAAATTCAAGAATAATAAGAGATGTTGCATCATATTACAGTAAAAATAAAGTCCAAGTTACGGAGGATAAACAGCGAACAGCCAATGGACTTTTATCAGTGTTGTGGCAGCACCAAGTGTGAAAGCTCTCAAAACCAGACTTGACCAACACTGGCGCGGGTACAGCAACGTCCTAGAGCCAGTACACATGTGCCCAATACTTGCTAACAGTAACAGAAACGTAACCGACCTCCCAAGCAGCTAACGACCTGATCAGTGGCAAAGAGGATAAAAAAAAAAACACTGCAAAGAATGCCTCCAAAATCCAAGTCTCATTTTTTATGTCTATAATTTAAACATCCATACTTCTTACCTTTTACAAAAGCAATTTGTCCTATTATATCAAGGACCAGTCCTTCACCTCCCCCTTACCTCTCCTTCGTGTCTCCACATTCTTTCTTATAAATGCTATTTCCATGGTCAATGTCCCAATGAAACCAACTACACCAATCTCCTCTTTTAATTCCAGTCGCGACATGTGTTATTCTTTATCACGCCACTGATACTCTACAAATTCCTTTTGTCTAACTTTATTATCAAACCCCCTTCATTCCTCGCATTTCTCTTTTTTACTTTTATTTTTATCCTCCGCCAATGATCGGCTCATTAGCCGCTTAGGCGATCAGTCACATCTCTGTTACTCACTGTTGGCAGGTGCTGGACATGACCTGGCTGCTCAATATATCGGAACCTACTCCAGTGTTGGCCAAGTCTGGCCTTGAATGAGCTCACACTCGGTGCCATCACAGACTGTTCCAAGAGTTCACAATTCTCACTCGGAAAAAATTTGCCCTCGCAGTTTTCTGGACTTGTTGCTTCTTCAACCTTGAACTGTGACCCCTGTAGTGCCCACTTAGATTAGGTCGCTCCTCGCCCGTCTGTAGTATAAGCTAGGTAGTTGCAGGCGCTCCAATCTCTCTGGGTAACTGAGGTTCCGTAGAGCTAGTACCAGTTTGGTGGCCCTCCTTTGAACATTTTTAACCAATTGACAATCTCTAGCATACCTCGGGGACCAGACGGGGAAGCACCTCACTCTTGAAGATCGTGACGAGTGACGGACCATCCAGATATCTAAACGACCGACCTTCTTATAAGACCTAGTAGTTTCGTTGCCTGATTCACCATCTTCTCACAATGGCGCGAGAATTTAAGTTCATTGTCGACATACACACCCAGGTCCTTTTCACATTCGGTCTCAATTAATGCAGTCTCTTCGTCCTGTTGGGACATGTGATATGTCTTCTTACTATTGGTGCGACCCAGTTGCTTCCCTTTGCACTTCGTGGGATTGAATTTTAGCAGCCATTTTTCCGACCATTCTTGAAGCTCAGAGATCTTTCTGCAGCACTTCGCAGTCTATTTGGTTCTTAATTTCTCGAAATAAATTTGTATCGTCCGCAAACACTTGCATGGAGGAGTGTATAGTTTCTGGCATGTCATTAATGAAACAGACAAACAACAACGGGCCCAATACACTGCCCTGTGGTACCCCGCGAGTCACAGGTACACATGACGATTTCGTAACATTTATCACCACAGTTTGCGATCATGCAGAAAGTCTCTGGTCCACGCTAGGACACTTCCCCGAATCCCGTACCCTTCCAGTTTAATTCTCAGCCTTTTTATGGGGAACACTGTTGAAAGCCTTGGCAAAATCTAGGTTTATATTGTCGATACTTCCGCCTTGTTCTAAAATTTCAGTCCATACATCTAGTACCTTGAGTAATTGTTTTAAGTAGGACCTTCCCGGCATAAAACTGTGTTAGCATTCCTTTACAAGGTTGTTTCGTAGTAGATGTTCCATCATGGCATCTCTTACGATGGTCTCTAGTACTTTGCACACTATGCTGGTCAGGTTAACTGGTCTATAATTATTCGCAGAGTGGCGATCGTCTTTCTTGAAGATAGGACTCACATAAGCCATCTTCCAGACGTCAGGGACCTTTTACTCCTCCAGGCATCTGCATAACAGGATCTTAAGGGGCTCCGGAAGCTCGTTACACAGATCTCTTAACACTCTGGGGTGTACCATATCTGGACCAGAACTCTTGTGAATCTTTAGCTTTGACAGTTTATTTCTTATAACCTTGTCCGAGAACACAATGTGGGTCAGCTGTGTTAAACCGGTTTCCTCAAATGCAAGAAGACTGTGCGCATCCTGTCTTGTGAACACCGATGAAAGGCCATCCTGGTACGAGTCTGCATAACTACCATCTTCAAGCCTCAGGCCCGATATGCCTACTCGCGTTTTTAATTTCGACTTTGCATAGCGGTTAAAAGCTTTTGGGTTTAACCTGACCTCACTTGCAATCTGCCTCTGGAACTCTTTTTCAGCCCTTCTACACTCGACTTTGCTTGGTTCCTGGATCTGGCATACAGCCTCCTAACCCACGTCTCGAAATCCTGATTTTCTTCATAATTTTGCCGACCGCCTCATGGTTCATGTGTAGAGGTCTTCTTGTATTCCTGGAGGCACTGGGTCTGGTCTTGGGTATATATTTATCGATCGAATGGTTTATTTTACTGGCTATGATATTCAGCGTAGCATCTGCGTTCTTATTCCTAAGTAAGTCAGGCCAGTGTATACTCATCTCCTCCCTCATCCCATCATAGTTTCCTTTGTAATATTTGAGCCTGGACTGGTTTTGTCACACACACACACACACACACACACACACACACACACACACACACACACACACACACACCTAGAAAAAGTGCAAAAGAGGGCATGCAAGATTATTCTCTCCCCTTCCTACTCCACATATCAAGAAGCGCTCAACACACTGACCCTTTCGACTCTCACTGACCATCACCACGACCTCATCTGCAAATTTGGTAAGAAGCTTCTACACCATCCTCGACACCGGCTCCTACTACCACATGAGATCCCTAGCCGGAGAATTGCTGTTCGACACCACAACCGCATCCAGCCCATACGTGCACGAATTGATCACTATAAGAACAGCCCAGTCCCAACCATTGTAAAAATTATCAATAACTTGTAATAAACCAGTGAATTCACTCCCAGTAAATACTACTTCTTGCACTGTCACTATGTTGAAATGCACTGTAGTTTGAGCTTTTCCCCATCTAGTTATTATATATCTTATTTGTATCACTTATGTTACTTGTATATTATTTGTAATTCGAAACCCATTCCTCAAATATGTAACTGTATATTTTCAACCTTCTGGCTGCCAAGCTCTTTCAATAAACCGTTAATTATTATTATTATTATTTATTACTCCCGCAAGAATGGACGGACGGATCTCTCTGCCGACCTTCAACCACAACGTAGAGGACTGGTTAGTTCATGTGGAAGCAACCCTCATCGGCTCTACAGCTACAGACGAGCAAAAGTACGGCGCCCTGCTCTGTTCCTTGCCCACTGAAGTCGCCACACAAGTTTCACAGACCATCTCCAACCCTCCAGCGAACAACAAATTCGCCACTCTGCGGGATGCCTTAAAAACGCATTACCAACGGACCCGCCCGAGTCTCCTACAGAACCTATCTTCTATCTCCCTTGGAAACTCAACTCCGGGATTTCTCTGGGAGGAGATGTGCAGGTTGAACTCCCGGCACACAGACATACTTCCTGACTCTATCCTCCGCCAGCTTCACGCACAAAAGCTACCCACACAAGTACGCAACATCCTGTCCGCAGTAGATTACTCTACGGCACCAGCAGAACTGTATGCAACTGCGGCAGACAGAATTTTCAACGAGTGCGCTGCTGAGCACCACCACCACCTACAACTCCTTCTCCAACGCCTGCCGAACAACAACATGAAAGTTCATCCTGCTAAGTGCGTCTTTGGAACCTCTGCCATCGATTTCCTCGGTCACAGTCTCGCCCTACCACATAAGACACGAGGAAGACGAACAACAAGACCCAAACACAAATGAAAGGACACTTCAAGAGAGCAAGAAGAGGAGGAGAGTTAGAAGAAAATCTACATCAAGCTAAGAAGAATACCAAGACAGAAGACCAAGACATTTCCTCCACACAAGAAAACAACACACACAATCAAGCCAACCAAGCACTGAGAATCCATGGCCCAACCCAACACGCACCTGACGCTTGACCTGACGCTAGCCTGACTCTGTCCTGTCGCCTCCTGGCCGCATCCAGGCGAGTTGCTGCTGCCTCCAACTTATACTCCCTCACGCAAGCGGCGTTTAGCCACTGCACCTATTCTCTTCTCCTAAAACTCACTTCAATCCTCCCTTTATTCTTCCCCTGAACCTCCTTCCCCCCTGTCACTAGCATGATGGCTGTACGCTGATTGGCTAGAAGGCGCGCGGCCGGAGCTCAGTGGGGAGAGGAGCCACTATAGGGTAACGACTCGTATTATTCGTCCGCCGTTCGCCGTAAAGGTTTGCCTTCTCCGTGAGAGCTGTGCGCTAGCAGTTCACTTTGTTTACCTCATCAATGATCAGCTGATGAGATTGTAGGTCTCTGCGCCGAGATGGCTGAATACAGTAGTTGTTTCTTTTTGTAATTATGGTGAATGACGATATATTCCATCATGCATTAGTTTTTATATAAGGAGTGAAAACTTGTTAATGTCTTACTTTAGGGGCGCCTCCCCGTGCTTGGTTTTTCCTCAACATTATATCACTGTAAGTATGTGTGTGCGGTAGTGGGTGTAAGTGCTCCCTTATCTGAAGTAATACACCCCGACATGATTCGCAGTACTTTACAAAGATAAATCTGGCAGAGGAAAAATACATAAGTAAAATCTGATAAGTCAGTTACGTGAGACTACACAAAGGCTTTTTTGTATGACGACATAACCATTCTGGCCAAACTGGCACCTGATTTATACAATGCCTACCCTCCTCTCTCAAATAAAAATAAAAACTATGGTAGGTAACAGGGAACTTAAACAAGTGGACAATTTGTGTATTTGGGAAGTAACAGTAGCTGTGATGGTAGATGTGCAAAAGAAATAAGAATAGGTCAATCTAAAGCAGCATTTAATAATCTTAAAGAACTAATGAAAAGAAACATTAACTACAACTTGAGAAAATGGCTGCTGAAAGGCTATGCAGGCATTTCCCGAGCTACGAACAGTCAACTTACAAACACCCACACTTACGATTGGGATCCCAATATATTCATCAAAAAAATCTGTATCTTAAATAATCCCAGTTTTTGTACTGTATTACTTCCATTATTCTATATTGTTTAACATCACTTTAATTACAGTACTGTATTTACATTACTTGTAATGCATGTAATTATTGTTGTTTTGCATGGGCAGGGTTTTAACTAAATTGTCATTTTTTACCTGAATTTATATTGTTTAAAATAACTTTATTTATAGTATTTTACATATTTGTTATGTATGTGATACTAATTTTGTTGTGTATAGGCAGGGTTGTGCTTTAACATAACCTAAACTATGGAATTAATACTCTTCATACTTACAAACAGATTGACTTAAGAACAGGGTCCAGGAACATAACCCATTTGTAACTCGGAGACTGCCTGTATATGACAAGGACTGTTGTATGGGTCAGAAGCGTGGACAGTTTCAGCAGACACCAGAAAGAGGTTAAAGGCCTTTAAAATATGGTGTTATAGGCAAATATTAAAAAGAAATCTTGCATTTGTTCACCATACTAATGCAATTTGCAACACTTCAAATTGCAGAACAGGGTGGTTTGCCATTCCTATATTTTGGGCATGGCAGGAAATTTGGAACTATGATGAAAGGATACTTAAATTTGGTTGGCTCTTGTGGTTTATCTTGCAAGTGGTTTTCAAATTAGTTTTTCCTTGATCCCTACCTAATTTGCATTCTATATATTAAAATGAACAGGACATAACAATGAAGATCCTACTAGAAAATCCTATATAAAAGTATCCCTTGGGTGGCTGCCAGATTACATATATTTTATGAAATTAATACAAGATTTATAATTAGCTTGAACAGATATGCTTTTCCTAGAGATGTTCTTGCTCATAGAGTTGTTTTGTTTCCATAGAAACACTTAAACTTTAAGAAAGAAGAATGCTTTCTGGAGGTTTGCCTTTGTGATTTTTTTAAGCCTTGAGACTGGAAATGTCACAAAATATTGTCATTTACTTTCGTGTATGACAATTGTAAATAAAAATTGATGTTGTCTCATTCAGATTTCAGGTACAGTACAGTAATGTGAAAACGCCCTCAAGAATGCCACCTTTCAAACAAGTTGTGAGCTTGCAGACATCTACACTCAGAAGAGTGGCTTATCTGATCAGGCGACTGTGTTGCGACCACAGTCTTTTGACCAGTGACCTCATACCTGTAATAGATCATCTGCAGACCTTCCTACCTCCTCAAATCCAAGCTTCTGTGTGTCATACGCTTCTTCATGAGTCACATAAGGTACTGTACGGTAATTATGTTCAAATCAGCCATATTTGTTATGATCCAATCAGTACATGATCTTTACACATTTACACTGCACATGTATAACTGTACGTATATGCATCATTATGCCAATATTCTTATTATGATTTGTTTTGCTACACTGTAATCAAACACATCATTATTGTATTAGAATTTCTAATGGTTCAGGGCTTGGCTCTTGTGATTCTTCAGTATTGTACAGCTTGGGTCTTGCTATATTTTAGTTGTTCACAACATGGCTTGTGTGATTTTAGACTTGTGAGTTTTCAACCTGTAGTTACCTGATCCTACCCTGTCACCATCTCCAACTTCTGTACTGTACTACAGGTAATTTATTTAAACTGGATGCTCTAAGTGATATGGAAGATGCTCCTATGTTTGGCTATATCTGTGTACAGTTAGCAAAAAAGTTCTCGAACACGCTAAGCATCATACAATATGACAAAACAAATGAGAAATTTGAACATTGCTCTCCAAGGAAATTTTATTGCAAATTAAATTACTTCTTTTCACCTGTAAATGTTATAAAGATGACTAACATACTGTATATTATTACAAAATATTTAGTCACTTTACAACCATACATACCAACCATTCTGAAATGACAAAAGCTATGTGCTCATTTTGAAATCTGTCGAACCCAGCTGTTCAATAACTGTTCTTGCTGACTGTACCTTCGAGTAAACACAATTTGTGAATAGGTGAACAAACTTGATTAATGCATCTTTCTTGGATCACCTGAAGATTATACACTCCATCTTATTTCCCCTGATGATTAACCACCTCACCAAACTCTCCCAGGTAACATGAAATAAAGTAGGGTGTCCAATCTTCAGGTGACCCTCTTTTCCTTTATACATAGTACTGTACAGCATCCCATGTGTCATTACTTCTTCTGTTTAAACATTAAAACCTGGTTAACACAACTGCCTTTCCCTCTGCTGCATATTTTGCTGGGTTAAAGTGTTGTAACATCAGTTGTTGAATATAATTAGTTTCCAACATACAGGTACATTATAAATGACGTGTGCAGTACAGTATATATATTAGAGATGATGTTTGTAACACTAGGCTTCCCATACAGGCAGTGGCATACAGGTATTTAACAAAGGTTAATCAGAAATTACTGAAGGTATGTTTACTGGTTGATGAGGGATGATGTTACTTGGGGAAACTTGTGATAGTACAGTACTTATTTGGTGAAACTATTGAAGTATTATCAATTATCCCGGTTATCACGTGAAAAAAAAAATTGAAGAATACAATACAGTACAATATCTCAGGCCATTTTGGGAGGTAAGGTCACATTGTTCAACATGAAATTTTTCCTAAAACTAAACAACATCTTTTCTCCCACAGATTGTATTCCCTGAGCTACTCAATCAAAAATACATCTACATTTGCACACAACTGCATGCCGAGTTCATATGGATCAATGATAGTCGAAGTATTGTACCAATGTTGGAGAAGATGGATGGACAGAGTGTGAGAACTCTCAAGATGACTGGGTCTCATGGCCAGCTGGACTTAGATCTGGAGTACAGTACATATGATTTCCAGCAGTTCATGAAACTTGAACCGCTTTATAGGTTTCTTAGAACACTAACAAATTTGACAACATTGAAGTGCTCTCAAATGTGTAATAACTTCATGCTTCAACTCTTGTCAAGAACTTGCCCCCACTTAGAAGAAGTTAACATTGAAATGTGTACTGATGTAGATGATGAAGGTGTGTTTTATTTAGGTGGCCATTTTCCATCCCATGATACATATTCTCAGATAAGGAGAGGTGTTCGGATACCCTCTAAGTCAGTTTGTACAAAACTCAGAAAGGTAAATTTAGAATACACTTTAGCATGCACAGCCAGTGCAGTAATGTTGCTGCATTTGTGCCGAAATATTGAAGAACTCATGGTTACCCCAGATGTTAATATAGGGGATGTATTTACTACATTACATGGTACTAATCCAGAAAAATATGAGGAAGTCACAACACAGTATTCCCTCAGAATTTTGCATACATATATGGAACTAGATGAGAATGTCTTATCTTTAATAGTCAAAACTTGTCCTCGATTGCATGATGTTACATTAAGATGCAATGGAGTGGAGAGAAAAGATAGAAATTTTCTAGCAACTCTTCTTAGTCTAAATCTAAAAACCCTCAATGTTATGAATTGCAGTATGCCTGCCTTATTGTGGTACTTGGATCAGTGTGGGAGCAATCTCAGAAGTTTAACTATTCAGCACCTCACTATGGCACCTTTAAGCCTGACATTTACGAGAACTCATCTTCAGAATGTTATACGTACCTGTCCCAATCTACAGAGCTTTACACTAAAGCTTAACAATAGTCCAATCCAACCTGATGTGCCTTATTCTGCAATTGGCTCTCGTCTTTTGTATTTCAAGTCCCTGTCGCACCTGACACTCGAGGGCACAACAATTACGTCTGAGGATCTATCAGTATTAGTAAGTAAATGTGAATCTTTGCGTGAATTGCATATTCTCATCCATAATTTAGACATGTTAGAGGACCAAGTACTCTATGATCTCCTGGCTACAGGTGCTATGCATAATTTATGGACTCTCTTTCTACACCGCCCAATGTTGACATTAGCTGGCCTTAAGAGGTTGCTTGTTGAATGCCCACACTTGCATACTATTGGACCCCTTTCATCATGGGCCATAAGCAAAAAAGATCGAGAAGAACTGAGTAAAGAAATTAGAATGAAGAATTGGGATTTGAATGTTGAGAGTCCCGAGATGATGCATATGTTTATCCTCTGAGGCAATGTTGCTCATTAAGGTGACATCAAGCTTGGGAGAATGTAAATATTAGTTTTGTTTTTCCATTGGTTCTGTATACTGGTGTATTATTATTATTATTAAACTCATCTTTGAATTCTTTATGTCTCCCCATCTTTCATCTTCTGGCCAAAAATTTCATCACAGTTACTTTTTACTTTAAATGCTCATCAAATTGTTCACTATTCACATCTGTTTACCTGTCTTATAGATATCTGTCTATTCATAATATTTTTTTATAATTCTAACCAGTGATGTACAGGTACTTGGGATCATGAACGAGATCATTCACAATTTGAGCCTTTATGGAGCACCTAAAGATTAGCCCACAGACAGTTTTGGGCTGGTTATGCTGGGAGCAAAACTTCTGGTAAGCACTGGGGGGGACTAATATTCAGGTGAAGCATAAAGGCTTAAATTGTGAATGGTTTTGTTCGTGGTCTCCGTCTTGACTACATCACCGAGTCTAACATTTGCTATCTGATCCTCAGACTTTGTGGATAGCCCTCAATATCCATACATACTTGTCTCAACATAACAGTTACCATACCATTCTTCCTAACCAAAGTGGCACTACTACATTGTAGCCTTTAACCATGCCTCAGTCTGCCATTTACTTGAAAGGAATAGGGTGCCAGAATAATACAGATCTCATTCAAGGCCAGAGATTGTACCATTGTGCTTAGGAAGTATGATATGCTGTCTAATAGTATTGAAACTGTTTCAAAGGTTACTTGCTTAACTTAAGTCAAAAAAGAGATTTCAGGATAGCTTTAAAATTTGTGCCACTTCGTTAACCCATTTTAAGCAATACAGTACTGTATACTTATCCTTTGTCCTTTTAGAAAAATTTTGATTTCATGTTAGAATTCTTCAGTTATCTGTACAGTACAGTAGTACTGTACTTCATTCTCTCAATTGTACAGTATTTCAGTTGAATCCTTTGTAAGTAGATAACAACCTTAATTTGCTTATACAGTATTTCAATTAAGTATTTTTTAAAGTTTCAATGGGAAACATTGTACCTGTATATTGTATTTTCTGTCTCATTCATCAAAATAGTAAATAATTTTTTTTAGCTGTGATGGTCTAGGGGAGGTGCACAAGACAGTTAGCTCTTAAGGGTGGCCCATAGTTAGGGTTGACAGGTATACCATGGATAAAAAAGACTAAGAACCTCATATTGATTAATTCTGAGCTACTCATGTGAAAACTTGAAGAGAAACTACAATGGTTTAAATGCCTATACACTTTTTTAGGGCTGCTCAAATTGTGTTCGACACAAAATTGTAAGAGTATTAAGTGAATTGTAAAAAATTAGATTTATGGTAAGTTGTATACTGTATATGAAAAACCCTGTGAATGGCAATATTAACTGTAATTTGTTTAGTATACTATAAGTAATCTTTGAATAGACAATAACAGTTATTGGGTACTGCACTTGTGCATTTGGAAACAACAGATTAACTTTGAATTTGTACGAGTAGTTTATCTTGACTGGTTGACATAGGAAAATATTGCCTTTTCACAAATGGCAGTCTTTCAGTTTGTAATGCATTTCTTATGAGAAACTTAGTGTTGATAGGAAAAGATCATTCATCCACAAAGCAATCTAGATATTTACTTATATTTTTTTAGAACTTCCCTGAAACTGGGGTGAACTTACATGGAATCTTCCCAAAATATATATTACAGTTACTTTCAAGTACAGTGGTCCCTCAGTTAACGAGCACAATCCGTTCCAGCAGGTTGCTCATTAACCGAAAAACTCATTAACCGAAACCATTGTTTCAATGGGTTTTTGGGTAATTGGTTCCAACTCACCGAAAATTGCCTAAATTCAACAAAAAAGGTAGAAATGTACACTTACTTTGAGGTGTGTATGTAGAAGGCTCCTCGATGATGATGATGTGAATTTGAAGTGGGAGGTGGAGGAGGAGAAGGGAGAAGAGAAGGAAGTGGAGGTGGAGGAGAAGAATTTTACTGCTCCTTGGAAGGTGAGTCACCTTCCATGAAAATGTCAGGAACCTCTGGACTGACAGATTCTCCACCATGAACATCCTCTCTCCTTCTTGAAGTGGAAGGTTGAGGGCTAGCATCATCCTCTCCTTCTTGAAGTGGAAGGCTGAGGGCTAGCATCTTGTTCCCTCCGCCTTTTACTGAAGAACGTGTCAATTGTGGTCTGTGGGGCATCTCTCCTCCTCATCATTAACTTATGTTTAAAGAAGGAAACCATTATGTCCTCAATATGACACAAAGTTAGTTCAGAGTTTTCCACATCTGGGTGCCTTGAAGCCAGTTTCCCGTACTTCTCCCAGTAGTAAATGACATCTTTCAACTCTTTAGTTGACATATGGTCATCACTTTCCTTTTCCTCCCCACCATTGTCAGCTTCTATCATATCATCCAGTTGCTTCAAGTCTTCAGGAGTAAGTTCCTCCTCATGAAACATCACAAGCTCTTCCACATCCTCCTCCTCCACTTCAAGGCCCAATGACTGACCAATGGACACAATCTCCTGGTCCAACTCTGTTTCTTCCTCAAATCCCTCAAAATCATGGACTACTGATGGCCACAGTGCTTTCCATGAAGAATTGAGGGATCTAGTGGAGACTTTTTGCCATGATGACACAATCAATTACACAGCCTCCAGGATGTTGAATTGTGTCTTCCAGAACTGTGCCAGTGTTAGTTCAGGATCAGTGGAAGCTGCCTGATGACACCTCCTAAACATTTTCTTCATGTACAACTTCTTCAAGTTGCGGATCACATTCTGGTCCATTGACTGTATGATTGATGTAGTGTTGGGAGGCAAAAACAACACTTTCACAAAGTCAAATTGATACTCCAAAGTTCTGGCAATTTCAGGGTCATGCCCAGGGGCATTATCCATGAGAAGAGCCTTTAAATGGAGTTTATTGGTGGTTAGGTAGCTCTTGACAGAAGGGCAAAACGCCTCAACAGCCCATTCATTAAAGAGCTGTCTTGTCACCCATGCCTTACGGTTGGACTTCCAATAAACTCCAAGCTTTCCTCTTACCACTTTTTGTTTTTTGAACACCCTGGGGTTTTCAGAGTGGTAGACAAGCATAGGCTTCAGTCGGAAATCCCCTGAAGCATTGGCACCAAGCAATAGAGTGAGACGGTCTTTCATGGGTTTATGTCCAGGTAAAGAGGCTTCATCTTTGGTGATGAATGTTCTTTTGGGCATCCTTTTCCAAAACAGCCCAGTTTCGTCCACATTGAACATTTGCTGTGGAAGATAATTTTCTTCATCCACCAGTTCTTTAAATTCAACTAAAAACTTTGCTGCCCCTTCCTTATCAGCACTAGTAGCTTCACCATGCCTAACAACACTAAAAATGTCACTTCTTTTCTTAAATTTTTCGAACCAGCCTTTGCTGGTCCTAAAATCTTCAAATTCTGTGCCTGAAGAACCAGGTTGATCTGTCTTTAAATGTTCGTATATCTCCCTGGCTCTTTCACAAATAAATTCTGTAGAAACTGAATCACCTTTCATCTGTTTTTCCCTAATCCAGATGAGAAGTAACCTCTCAGTTTCTGCAATTAGGGATCTACTTTTAAACATGTATATTTGTCTCTCACTTTCACTTCTTTAAATTTGTCTTTCTGTGCAAGAATTGTCGACACAGTTGATGTCGACATGCCATATTCTTTGCATAGCGCATTTGTTCTAATGCCTTCTTCATGTTTTTTTTTATAATTTCCTGCTTGATTTGGATTGAAATCGCTTTTCTTGATCTCTTAGGCCCCATGCTGGATTCAAAAAATCTCAACACGTGATATTTTAAGTTTAAACTTAGTGTAATTCAAGATTATTTTCTTTAAAATAACACTGCACTGCGCTATATATTGTCAATATGTAAAAGAAATTTCAAAATAACCAATAATTTGCTTGGAAACACAGAAAAAAAGCATTTAGTTGAAGAGTCTCAAGCAAGATGTTACCTCCACTGAAAAGACAGACAGACTAATGCCTGTATGGTGTGTTGGCAAGCTGGATGGCGCTCATGAAACTAGTGACCTTACCTTCAATTATGTTCAATAATTGTTAAAATGACTAAAAAATTTAATGTTAAACTTTTAAAATTATTGAATAGTATAAACTTCTTGATATTTACTAATAGAGTAAGGAATTTAAGCCCTAGAACCGATTACTGTATTGGCGGACTAATACTATACTGTAGCTGGTTGACAGCCAAGTGCAAGCGAAAACATGTTCAGGTCGGCTCGTAAGAAACTCGCTAATCGAGGGATTGCGCGTTAACCGAAGTTAGAATCTTATGGGAGGTAACTCGTTAACCGAGGGACCACTGTATAAAAAGACTCATAAAGGAACACTGTGGATGCTTTTTGAAGGATTCTGTACAATATTTTGGTTAATTTAAATCTTAATTCTTGATATTTGTTACTTAAGAGCAGTATTGCATTGGCATGCAACCCCCAATATTTTAAGAAATACGAAATTAGTTTACACAGATCCATACCCAAATTTCCTATTTCCTGTACAAGTACTGTATTCATTAATAGAGTGGGTCAATGGCTTTGTCTGAAATACTGTACCATGTTCTTGGGAACTATTTATATCAACAATTTATGTATCTCTTGCTCTTCAACTACAGGTACAGTGACCCCTCGGTTAATGAACTCAATCCGTTCCAGAAGGTCGTTCGTTAACCGAAACCATTGTTTCAATGGGTTTTTGGGTAATTGGTTCCAGCTCACCGAAAATTTCCTAAATTCAACAAAAATGGTAGAAAAGTTCACTTACTTTGAGGTGTGTATGTAGAAGGCTCCTGGATGATGATGATGATGATGATGGTGGGAATTAGAATGGGGGTGGAGGAGAAAGAAGAAGAGAAGGCATTGGGGTGGAAGAGAAGTCACTCCATGGCACCATTTCACCCATAAAATTTTAGTTCTCTTGGTGTATTTCAAGATTATTTTCTTTAAATCAACACTGCACTGCATTATATATTGTCAATATGTAAAATATATTTCAAAATGACCAATAATTTGCTTGGAAACACAGAAAAAAAGCGTTTAGTTGAAGAGAGTCTCAAGCAAGATGTTACCTCCAGTGAAAACAGAGAGAGATAATGCCTGTTTGCTGTGTTAAGAGGCTGGATGCTGCACTTTAAACTAGTCACTTTACCTTCAATTATGTTCAATAATTGTTAAAATTACTAAAAAATTGAATATTAAACTTTTAAAATTATTGAATAGTATAAACTTCTTGATATTTACTAAAATAGTAAGGAATTTAAGCCCTAGAACCGATTAATGTATTGGCGGACTGATACTAAAGCTGGTTGCCCGGCCAGTGCAAGCGAAAACATGTTGAGGTCGGTTCGTAAGA